CTCAGAAACCAGTGACTTTCTCTGACCAACATGACCATGATAGCTATATTCATGAAGAACACATCTTGCGGTAATTAAGTTTGATAAAAAGAATTAGCTACTGAGTTAAGAATAGTTAATTAGTATTTTTCTTTAATAAAATACATATATTTTATTACATATCTTATCTTATTTTCTTCTTGCTTTATTAAGAGAATATTTTGTTATAAGTAAAACTCATGTATATTATCTTATTAAGAAGATAATCATATTTTATTATAAGTAAAATATGTATAAATTATCTTATTAAGAAGATAATCATATTTTATTAGAAGTAAATCTTGCATATATCATCTTATTGAAAAGATAATTTCTTGAAGCAATAAAAAGTAAATAACTATCATGAACACAATCACTATTATTATTTTAAAATAATTACATATGCATAATCTTAAAATAGTAATAGTTTTTTTGATACTCTCTCTGTGGAGACAAAACCAGAAATAAATTTGTTAATCACAAAAGTAATTCAAACTGGACCTAACAAAATTAACTAATTATGAAGTAGAAAGATAACTTCAAAGATTAATCAATCTTTTTGATCCATCTTGATTATTCAAATAGCAAGAAAAGAATTTATATCAATTGGTCTATAACTTATTTGTTACTAATATATCAAGAGACAGAGTATCAATAAGCAAATATCAAATACAACTTTAATTTCAAAAGTATTCAACTCATACTATAACTGAGATTATTAATATTATTCATAATTTACATGAAAAAATTACTATATTTAATTAATAAAAAATACATTATATTCAGAGATCAAGATCTAATATCTTAATTAATATCTCAGTCAGAACTCCTATATCAGTTTCATCATCATCCACTTTAACCTCAACTCCTAATATATTCTTTACTAATCTTCTACACAGAAGAAGAGCTCCAGTTCAGTCAAGAAACATAACAGAAGAAGAATCTTCAGAAGAAGAAGAAGAAGTTTATCCTTCTATCCTTTTAGATTCATCTCCACTACAATCTCAAAGAAATCAAGAAGAAGAGATGGCAGATCAAGCTGTACAAACTTTAGCCCAAGCATTCTTATCTCTCATGTAAGTAAAGCAGAATCAATAAAATAGACAGGTTGAGCTGACAACAGTATCACTCCTCTTTTACAGTAGTAGAATATATGAAGATTCTATGAATTAGATCGAGAAATTTACTCATGCAACAAATGCAAATAATATAATAAATCCAAGAAAAGTAAAGATAGTATCTGTCTATTTGAGAGGAATTACATCAACTTGATATTAGCAAAGTAAACTTGCAAATGCTAACTGACCTACTAGCTAAAATGATAATAATGACAATAATTCATTTTACCAAATCTTTATTACTCAGTTTAGAATAAATACTTAAGTTTTAGCATAGTAATAATAATTAAAATTGAGAATGCAAGAAATAAATGAAGATATAACTTCTTATACTGAGAATATTTATACATTACTCTGAAAGATTAATTTAATAAATACATATCCTATTACTTACTATATCGAGTAATTTATAAAAGACTTAAAGCCAGAAATTATCTTTTACGTGAATAAATCTAATTTAAATACTCTAGATATAGTGATCACAGAAGTAATCAGTACTGAATCTAGCTACAGGCAGATCTATCAGAACTCCCTTAACTCCATTTCATACATATTACAAAATCTTGGTATCTCTTTTTCTATTTCAAGTCTAACAAATAATATGAGTAGAGCTATAGCTAATCTTACAAAACAAGTAAAGAAGTTATTAACTCAGAATAATCGAAATTCTAATAACTACTCTAATTAAGATAAAACTTGCTATAATTATAGTAAAAATAATCACATAGTCCATAATTGTAGACTACCAAAAAAAATATAAATAGTAGTAGTAATAATAATATCTCAAATATTAAATACTTCAAATGTAATAAAATGGAATATTATACTAATAGTTATACAGAAAGAAACATGAATAACAGATAACTAGCCAATCTCAAAGCCAATATCACTTCAGTTTCAGATAATAATCTTTTACTATAATAACTATAATAACTTCTGAATGGATAGTTTATTATGCTCTTATCTACTAATACTATTACCATTAATAATAGTAATACTTCACATTTAAACTAGAGTCCATATCTGAAGAAGATCAGAGTACAAGTTAACCTCAAAAATCTTCAATAATATTTTTACAACAATTACTAACTGAAACTATAGAGAAAAATAAAAATCTAGAAAAAAAGAATGAAAAAGTAGTAAATGCAATCTATTATGAAGGAAAAATAGAAAATTAACTTATCAGAATAATAGTATTATCGTAGTAATATAAATTTCTTTAATTTCATAATTTTTCAAACTTGGAAAATGTGACCAATCAATTGATCTTGGGACAATATGTAATTCCGAATAATATAATTGGTGTATCAGTTATGAATTCAGTCATGATTTAATAATATTTTTGTAATATCCTTGCAACATTTTTACAACATTTTAAAATCATTAATAAATAATTAGCCCTGAAATTAATAATAATTCACAAATGGTTTAACAACAGTTCAGAAATATTTTAGAAATGATTCATGAATGGATTTCATTTATTTTTATCTTTTGTCTTTTCTTTTTGGAACATATATCTTATCTTTTAATTTTATTTCATCATTTGTATTATTATTTGATTTATCACATACAGTGGGTGATCAAAAGTATTCATCACATGATGATAATCTAATATGTTTTGGCCAAGTGTGATTAAATTCAATGCAGGGTATCTCTGTGAAAATCCAATCAAATTTAATGATCTTTTTTTTGTTTAAATACTGAAGACTTCTATTTTAACTTGTCTTAGTACATATTTAGTTGTTAAAACTTTACATTTTGAGCAAAAATGACAAAAATCCACGAGTTAACTATATTTGAGAAAGATGAGGTTATTGGACTTCACAAGGGTAAACACAATCTCACGGAAATTTTCTGAATACTTAAAATATTCAGAATAACCTGTGTTAGCATAATAAAAAAATTTGAAAAAGATAAAACTGTAATTCCCAATCCTCATAGCAGGAGACTGCCTCTTTTGAAAGTAATCAATAAATGCCATTTTATTCACACTGCTATTGCTAATAAAAAGGATTCTGCAAATGAAATAACTGAAAAATTTAATAACTTAGGATTAACTGAGTTAAGTATAATTACCGCAAGATGTGTTCTTCATGAATATAGCTATCATGGTCATGTTGGTCAGAGAAAGTCACTGGTTTCTGAG